TCATGAAGCGGATTTTTCCCATTTAAACCATTGTTTTGCGATCGCTTTTACGATCGCAAAAACCTAATCATCAAGCAATTTCCTCATTAAGCAAGGCAGTTTTTAAGAGCGGCACCACTGTAGTTCAACTGGAATGCCATCACCTTCACTGGCCTTGTTAGCCAGGCTTTCTAAGGCCCACTTGACTTCACTCTCCAGGATGTCTGGCTCAAAGTTAGTAACCACACTATCTGGGTTGATATCTTCTGCTTCTGTTAGGTCCCTCCCATTTTTGTCCTTTATCACGTCCATCTTTGTTCAAAAGGTTTCTTTAATATCTCCAATTTTCTTGAACAGATCTCTGGTTTTTCCTTTTCTATTATTTTCCTCTATTTCTTTGCAATGTTCATTTAAGAAGGCCTCTTGTCCCTCCTTGCTATTCTTTGGAAGTCTGCTTTCAGTTTTCTGTAACTTTCCCTATCTCCCTTGCATTTTGTTTCCCTTCCCTTCTCTGTTATTTCTAAGGCCTCGTTGGACAGCCACTTTGCTTTCTGGCATCTCCTTTTCTTTGGGATGGTTTTTGTTGCTGCTTCCTGTACAGTGTTACGAGCCTCCAGCCATAGTTCTGGCACTCTGTCTCTTCACTTCCACGTTGTATTCGTAAGGCAAATCTGGGTAAAATGTGGCCCTCCATATGTTGTTGAACTGCATCTCCCAGCAATCCCAGCCCACACAGCCAGTAGTGAGGATTGCTGGGAGTTGCAGTTCAGCAACATCTGGAGGGCCACATTTTGCCCAGTTCTGTCGTAAGAGATGTGGTTTAGATTATGCATGACTAGCCCAGTAGTTTTTCCTACTTTCTTCAGATTAAGCTTGAATTTTGCTATAAGAACCTGATGATCAGCTCCAGGTCGTATTTTTGCTGACTATATGGACCTTCTCCATCTTTGGCTGCAGAGAACAGAATCAATCTGATTTCAGTATTGCCCATCTGGTGATGTCCATGTGTCAAGTCACCTCTTGTGTTGTTGGAAAAGAATATTTGTGATGACCAGCTTGTTCTCTTGACAATACTCTATTAGCCTTTGCCCTGATTCATTTTGAACTCCAAGGCCAAACTTACCTGTTGTTCCTTTTATCTCTTGACTCCCTAGTTTAGTATTCCAATCCCCTATAATGAGAAGAACATATTTCTCTGGTGTCAGTTTTAGAAGGTGTTGTATATCTTCATAGAATTGATCAATTTTAGCCTCTTCAGGTTGGTGCATAAACTTGGATTACTGTGATGTAATAAGAAATGCATGGTATTAAAACTGGGTGCTGAAAAGGAAGAGGGTCTTAAGATTGTATTGCAAATATCTGCTGGTACTGGAGCACATTGAAGGATTTCAGAAGAAGATCATCCTTTGCTTTATAGATTACAATAAAGCTCTTTGCAGATTGTTAGAAACTGGGTTGTTCTGAAAGAAATGGGTATGCTTTAGCACTTGATTGTCCTGCTCCATAACCTGTATTGTGAGTTAGAAGCCACAGGACAAAATATGGAGTAACAGGATAGTTTCCCATAGGCAAAGGGGAGACAAGGGTGCATTTTATCCCCATGTCTGTCCAAACTATATGCAGACCATATTATACAGAAGGTCAGACTACATTCAGATGAAGGAAGAGTGAAAGTTGTTGCATGAACCATCAGTAATTTAAGGTATGCAGATAACACCATCTTACTGGCAGAAAGCAGCAGTGACTTGAAATGACTTTAAGTGAAAGAAGAAAATGCCAAAGCAGCTGAACAGGTACAATGAAATAGTGAAAGATTTTGTACACCTTGGTTCAATCATTGATCCAAATGTAGACTGCAGCCAAGAAACCAAAAGAATATTGAGACTTGGAAGGGCAGCAGTGAAGGTACAAGATAATGACTGACATAACAGTTGACTGAACTGGTGGTGGCAGCAGTAGCTCCTAGCACTGCCACCACCGCCGCCTGGAGATGTCAGGGCTTAGATATTTAACCTTGTGCTTGCTTGCTCTCTGAGGTTAAGCAAATGGCTCTTCTGTGGCAGACAGAAGCAAACTGGTAAGGTGGGAAGGAACTTTTCCCTTATCTGGAAGATCTAATGTTGCATTCCAGAAAGTTTGTATTCCAGAATATTTAGTCCCTGGACATTCTTGGTGGCAAATGCAAACATTAGATAGCTAGAAAACACCAAGAACTCAGGCAAAAACAAAACAAACAAAAATAAGTCAAAAACACTGTGGCACCTTAAAGACTAATTGCTATATTATAGTATGAGCTTTTGTGGACAAGTCCGCTGTTTCAGACCAGAAATGTGAAGCATATGTAACACATTCTTATGGGAAAATGGATTCCAGTGGGAAAAACTGGGAAGTGTTCTTTGTCCAAGGTTCCCATCTGCTCCTTCAAATTTGTTCAGTGTCATCCATAAAAATTATATTATTTCAAAAACAATATTTTTTTATATGCAGCCTACATTATAACCTATGGTGATGATGCCATGCTGACAGCTATTTTGAATCAGGGCCTGGCTGACTTCTGGTTTAGAACTCACTAACTGAATACAAATTGATTAAGCCAGCAAAGATTCCCCCCCCCCAGTGCTCTGAACAACATGGTATGCAAAAATTATTTTGGCATCCTACCTGACAGGGAAATATATATACCATATTTTTCCGTGTATAAAATTGCACTTTTTCCTAAAATCATTAGAAGAAAAATTGAAGGTTGTTTTCTACTCGGAAGGAGGTGAAGGCAAAGGAACAGCCCCGCTCGACTACCTTTCACAGCTGCTCATTGACTGCTGCCGCTGCTGCCAGATCACTTTATCCTCCTGCCAGGGCTCACCTCCAGCTCACATTGCTGCCTTGTCCCCTGCCCAAAGGGAGCCTACAAGTGGCACTGGAAGAGGCGATCCGGCAGTGGTGGCGGCAGTCAATGGGCAGCAGCAAGAAGCGGCCAAGCACGGCTGTTCCCTTGCCTCCGAATCCGCCTCCTCATGCTGCCTCCACCACCGGATTGCCTTCTCCAGCACCTCTCACAGGCTCCCTTTGGGCAGAGGACAAGGCGGTGACTTGATTGGGTGGCGGAGGCAGCAGCAGCAGGAAATGGAGGTGCTCATCCACCTCTGGCATGATAGGTAAACTGCCAGTAACATTACTGGGCATGAATGCAAAGATTGTCTTAAAATGATGCTTTTGTTTCTTTTCTTTTTTTGTTTCCTTTTCAGTATAGCAGATTGTTGATTAATATCTGTTTAGGAATTCTTGCATGTGTAGACAGTGGTATACAAAATTTATTCCAGGCAAAATCAGTATGTGTTATAATTTTGTGAAATAAAAATATCTGCTAATCAGAATATTAAAGAAGTGCAATTTGCATGTGCATACATACAAGCACATGTAGTACCAAATGGCCGACAGAGGTTGAAATACAAAGGAACTGTGATTCATCTTGGCTGCTCCTATTAATTGTAGAGATCAAGCAGGATCTGAAGGCCTTAGGAATGGACCTCAACAGATGGGAAACTTTGACATCTGAGCCTTCAGCCTGGAGGCAGGCAGTGCATCATGGCCTCTTCCAATTTGAAGAGACCCTTGTCCAGCAGGCCGAGGCAAAGAGGCAGTCCCGAAACCAGCTGGACAGGGGATAGATTGGATTTGTCTTCAGTGTGGAAGGGATTGTCACTCTCGAATTGGCCTTCTCAGCCATACTAGATGTTGTTCCAAGACCTCTATTTAGAGCGCGTTACCATAGTCTTTCGAGACTGAAGGATGTCTACACACACTATGGACTTCACACTGAACTGTAGTTCTAGCTTTACATCTAATTGGATTCAGCATGTAGGTTGAACACATTGGTTTAACTCTCAGAATTCAAAATGAAATGTATTATTAAACTCAACATAAGTTTGCCATTTTTACTGTTATTACTCCCTATTGTTTTCTTTTAGGGTTTATATTTTTAATTGTGTTAATGTTTTTAAGAAGAGTATTACTTTAAGTGTCACATTCCTGAAAAGCCACTTCCATTCCTTGTTTGGGTATCAATCTTTGACTGGGATTCAGACAATGAAGTCCAATAAAGTCTAAGCCTCACTCATCCCCAGTTAAATTTTCCACTTCGTCCCTAACCCATTCAAAAGCAGAGCTCATTCTTATGGTTTCAAAAGATTATCTTGCAGCATACAACGCTGCTGTGGGGAAAGCAAATCTAAGTAGGTCCTCTAGTTTGTTTGTTTATTTATTTATTTTATTTTATTTATACCCTCGCCTATCTGTTCATTAGACCGTCTTTGTGAGGGTGTAAGATTTGGTTTTGGATACAAGTTGAGGCCCTTGCTTTCTTCTCTAGATAAATGGATTATCATTGGACTGGGTGTTGTATTGTATCTGATCATTGGTTCATCTAGCCTGTCTAGTCTTTCCTACTCCACCAGTGGACAGAAAGTAGATCAGGATCTATTAGTAGATCTCCAGGGGCTTTCAGAATATGTTAACAATATTGTCATCAGAAGCAAGGCTAATTAGTACTTCCAGAACTACTCAAATTTGAATTGCTAGAAGTGTTTGGAAAGTACGTCTGCATTTCTAAGGGTTGTTCTAAGAGTCTCCACATAAAACCTATTAAAAGATGAGATCTACTAAATATTAGTTTGGAGGTATGATTAAGGAATTTTATTATTCGTTTCTAATAACAAATTGTCAGTGGAAATGCTGCTATATTTTCTGTTTGCTCAATAATCTTTTGTGATCTTTAAGCAGATTATGGTTACTGACAATGATGTTCTAGTACCAAATCACAATTCTTGCAGTCCAGTACGTTATTGTAGACGGCTTGAAGATTTGCAGCATTATACAGTGAGGATATTAAATTAATGCAATTTCAATCCTTTTTTGGGGGAGGGGAACTATGTATTTGAGTAGCTTGAGATGGATTTCTGGAACCATTTTTATTGCATATTTCCCTTTTTCTTCCTCCTCTCCTCTCCCCTGCAAAAAAACAGGTAACGAGTTTGGGCATCCAGAATGGCTAGATTTTCCCAGAAAAGGAAATAATCAAAGCTACCATTATGCTAGGAGACAGTTTCATTTAGCTGATGATCAACTTCTTCGCTATAGATTCCTAAATGCATTTGATAGAGATTTGAACAAACTGGAAGAAAGATTTGGCTGGCTTGCATCACCACCGGTAAAGTATATAAAAGTGTTGTGTATTAGTCAATGCAATTGTGCATGAGTAACATTTCAATAATACAAGAACTACACAGAAAGATTTTTAAGACAAATATTTACTATATATTGTTTTATGCTTTTGACATATTTTCATAATGCTAGTGGGGTGCTGATAAAATTACTAAGAATTATCTTTTTTCCCCCAAGGAATGTTTTGTTTTAATTTCCCTCTCTATTTCACATATTTTAAAAGATGTTAATTAGGAAAGCCACCTACTTGTAATTCAGTAATTTCAAAATATTTTAATTATTTTGACATCTCTCTTTGATATAAATAACTGTTGTTATCCTTTAAAAATTATATTACTGTTAGGTCATTTGTAGTACCATTTTCCTTCTCCTGGTAATCAAGGTTATGTTTACTTTCAAACCTAGTGGAGTTTGTTCTACTGTGTAGGTCTAGTAAAGTTGGATTGAGTTAGACCTCTTACCATTTTATTTATAGATCCCATTTCTAAGCTTCCTATGGTTCTGTAGTTTACTGTATATGAATGAGGAGTGTTTTGGCTGTTTAGATATTGTGGACCAATATTTGTAGTACACATTAGGGATGTGCATCTGTTAGCCTTTTTCTCCTGAAGATATACTGAAGGGGGGAAAGCCACTTTTCTACTCACAGCAAAATTTCTTTAATAGAGCCCTCCACACAGACGCACACAAACACAAATCCTTCAGGAAATCCAGTGGGATTCTTGGAAGTTTCATGGTCATATTTATGGCAACAATGTCATGTTTTGCAACATTGTTACAATTCTTACACAACATAGAATTTTTCTTGCATGGCATTCACCTAGAAAGGACTGAAGAAAAATCAACTGCATGTAAGTCTTACCCTACATCAGGGGTCTCCAAACTATGCCCCACAGGCCACATCCAGCCCGCCTTGCCTTTTTATCTGGCCAAGGCATAGGAAGAGGAGCGAAGCCTGACAGAAGCTATTCCCCACCCCCCGCTGTCTTTGCAAGGAGCAGTCTCAGCCAGAAGTTCTGGCATTGTGAGACTTGGAAATTCATCTAGATTAAGACATTTTATGATTGTTCGTCACATTCCTAGAATGTCTAGACTGGAAATAACTCACTGCCTTGTTTTGGTATTGTTGACAAGAAAAGCAAAGGTATTTTTAAGCAGAGGACATTGTTTTGCATTATAGAAGCTCTAACAGTATTGATACCATACCTTACAGTAAAGCAAAGATAGGGAACTCGGTGTTGCCGAACTGCAAGTTCTATCATCCTTTACTGTTGGCTTTGCTGGTTAGGACTAATGAGAGTTGCAGTATTTGGAAGATCACTCATTTCCCACTGTGCAATGAAATGAAAAATGACTCTCATGTGATAAAATTCTAGGAGATCTCTTAGGAGGCCATTTAAATAATTGTGTTCATAGGAAAATATTTTATAACATTACTTTCTCTGTAATAATTACGTTATATTTGATTTCCCAATTAAGAGTGTAGAGACTGGTTAAAATCAATGGATACAATGGATTTCTCAGTTCAGCTGAAACTACGTCTGATATGCCATTAAATTATACACTTAATACTTCTTATTAACACCTCCCAATAGGACCTTTTATACATAGAGGGTAGCAGTTCAGGAGATTTCAGAAGTGCAACCAGATTGTGCTGAATAACATAGTAGAACACTGTGCCCCTTTGATCAGGCCTGCATTCTGAGAAAGATGCCAGCATAGCTGCTCTTGGAAATGTTGGTAATTGCATTGCTTCACACAGCTATTTAGAGCTCAGTTTGTGGGCACTAACGTGTTAAGGTTAATCTGTGAACAAAAATTAGATAATCCATGTTAAACATTATAAAATTATAAAATCAGCGTCTGAAATCCAGTACAGTCACAACTAGAGTAGGCTCATTGAATCAGTGCAATGAACACAGATGTTGATGGGCCAAATTCCACTAATTTTAAATTTGGTTCTACTCTGGTTGTGACTGACTACTGGGTTTCAGCCATGGTGGTGTTTGAACTGTTTGCTTTAAAAAAAAAATACAGTATTTAAACTGGCCACTAAGAAATTATTTAAAATTTTAACCCATTAGGGTTAACACATCAATTTTCAACTGATTATTTTCAAGCTCATCACTAGACATGGGATATTCATATTCATCTCCTAGGGAAGACAAATACAAATATTTGCACTATAGGTGGCTGGGCCACTTGAACCCTCCCCCCCAGAACCATCCAGTTCACTTACCTTTTGCTGCACAGCCATCGTTGTTCATGTCACGATAATTACAGAAGTAGGTTCCCCGCCTCCTTGCACAGCCAACCACTCTAGTGAGGAGGCAGGATGATGGGTCTCCCTACTCAGCTGTAACTGGTCAGCAGCACAGGCAGATGGGGAAGCGCCAGCCGGGCTATCACTGCAATTGGCACAATGTGAATGATGCTGGCTGTGCATGATTTGCGGTGAGTGGTAAGTAGACCGACCAGTTCTGGAGGGAGGCTCCAAATGGCCCTGGCACCTGTGGTGACAATATTCATATTTGTCTCCCCTGGGAGACAAATACAGATATCCCATGTCTACTCATATACACTCATATATGCTTATATACACAGTTTCACTGAGTGATTGTTCTGTTGCCTGAATGTTTTTACATTGAGGATGGTGCCTGAGCTATCCAACAGTGTAGGGCAGCCATTCTCAGTAGGGGCTATATAGCCCCCTGGGGGGACCTGGCACATTTGAAGAGGGCCACAGACTGAAAACAATTCTTCACAGATTACTCATATACACTCATATATGCTTATATACACAGTTTCACTGAGTGATTGTTCTGTTGCCTGAATGTTTTTACATTGAGGATGGTGCCTGAGCTATCCAACAGTGTAGGGCAGCCATTCTCAGTAGGGGCTATATAGCCCCCTGGGGGGACCTGGCACATTTGAAGAGGGCCACAGACTGGAAACAGTTCTTCACAGATCACTTTGTAAGGTTCATTATGTGACTTACACAATCTGATTTGGCCTGTATTTTTTTTCATGTGTTTAAGACCATGGCCTAAAAAAAAGGCTGAGAATGGCTGATGTAGATTGTTGGAATTGCCATGTCTCCCTGCACCTACAAGGGGATATGATTCTGTCCTCATACAGAATCAACAAATTGTTAGCCATTATGTTAAATAGGGTGCTACCCCAGGCAGGCGTTTGCCATAACCTTGCAGGGTTTTTCAAACATTTTTAACATAGTTACCTGAGAAAATAATGAGCTCTTAAGTCTCTGCTTCCAATCCTTCCTGAAAGCTTCTCATGAGCTTACCTAGTGCCACTTACCATCTGTCATCCTTCACCTACTGTCTGCAATTTTGGTCTGAATAATACTGTCCTGAGGATTCCGGAGTTAATGTATGTGGAGTGCTTTGAACAGTCAAATAGTGGTAGATAAAGAACAAAAGTGTGAAAGAGATCCTGACAAACTATGCATTCTCTCCTCTTCCAAGCTGTTTTGTGCAAAATTCCCAGTATATGTCAGCATTTGTGTTGACAGTATGCAGGACTGCAGACTTTAATTATCACAACTCCTTCTCATAGGAGACTTTTGAGGAAAGCTTTGTAGCTGTATAACTTGGTGGAAGAGGCAATGCTATAGCTTGGTGATCACAGAATTTTACAGAATGAGTTGTCTGTGGAAATTCATTTCATAAGAAAGCAAAGAAAGCAATCTAAGGTGCCAAAGCACCTTTTTGTTACTTTTCTAATTCAATGGGATTTGCATAGGTTACTCCATATCTGAGAGCCTGATTCCTTTATTCCTATTTAATATGCAAACTGCATATGAAGTAGTATTGACATTGCATTAGAATAATTTCCTTTGGAATGAAAATAAGACATATCTGTCTTCTAATATTAAATAGCCCTTGACCCTCTACCAATTGTTTGATTATAATAACATTTGTATCCTACTTTTCTCTAGCAGTACTGACAAACTGTTCCCATCAAATTATGTGCATTAAAAACACGGCTATTTTGTAGATTTTGAAAGCTAGTCGAGGCAAAGAAATATAATCATGAGGTCAATTATAGTTTATACTTTCCATGTAAATGACGTTTCTGGCATGTTAGAGGTCAGTGGAGTGTCACTCATCAACCTACTCAGAACCTTTTTTGTTTGCACAGTGGTATCAATCCAGACCTCCAAAGTATCGTAGAAAAATTGGATCCAAAATATTTATCATTTTAGGTCTTGAATTCTGGATATATTATTTCTAATCTCAAGCTTGAGAGTAAATATGCAAACAGCAAAGCTAACCTGCTTCCAAGAATACTGTACTTTTTTACAGGGGTGAGCAGCTATGGCCAGCCTGATGTTATCGGACTGTCCATCAGCCTTAGCTAGTGTAGCTGATGATGATGATGGACTGAAGTCCAAAAACACCTGGAGGGGCCACAGCTCCTGACTCAGCAAGATTTAAGTGCAGGGCTTGTTATGTTTAGGAAGTAACAGTGCTTGCACCACACTCCTGCTGCTTGTGGTCCTCATTCTTGAGCAGCCTAGTCCTATGTGTGCTTATTGGACGTCTCACTTACTCAGTGGAACTGACTTATTCACATATATCTGTGCATAGAGATATGTTTGTTACCTTACTCACTCGGAGCCCAACCTTTACTCTTTGCTCATTTCTGCTTTTCTTCAGCTTCGACATTTAATTGTTCCATTTATTCTCTTTCATTTCCTTCTTTTCTTCTGAGGTATTCATCCAGGTACCATTACATTATAAAATAGCACATCTAATAGATACAGTAGGATTCCTGTATTAGCAAGATCAATATCCGCAGTTACATTTAGCTCCGGTTTACTGCTGCCCTGTAAACTATAAACAAGAATGCCCCTTGTGGCCTTTGACCCACCTCCTTGTATGTTATATATACATGGTTTCCTCATATCCACTGTTTAAAGGCATCCACAGAAGATCATGAAATGAGCCCTCCATGGAGACTAGGGCCCTACTGTACTGAGAATATTTTGCACAGCTTCTAAGGACTGTGTAAGAGTTACCTTCTTTATTAGCAAGGAGATAAATCTTCATCTAGCATGTTTCTTTCTCACTGAAGTGAAGTTGACATGAAATAGATGAGCAATTATATATTTAAAAATGACACTGGAATTATCTCAGACACTGCTTTTATGATTCATGACAAAAATAAGATTTTGTGCTGCCCTAAATCTTTATCAGTCTAACTTTTGGCTAAGTAGAAAGATGAGTGTGTATATGAAAAACAGTAGTGAAGAAAAGATGAATCCTATGAAAGGATGGATCATCTTCACTGTAGTAGAATTTCTTGATGTATAATGGATAGATGCATGCATGTATACATACATACATTTTTTACTAAAGTGAATTGTCTAGCTGATCCTTGTTAATCCTATTTTCTTTTGTAGTTTACCCAGCTCTTTACAGGTAGAGATTTTAATTGTCCTCAGATATTACCTACAGAAAAAAATGTTTTTTTTATATATTTTATGTTTTGATACCTCAAACTCCATTTATCACCCCCATACCTTAATGAAATTCAGGGTAGATGTAAAAGTGTAACATTTCTATTTATTTAGTTTAATTTCATTTTCTTATGTAAATAAATTATTTTCTTTCTTTCTTTTCATTATTTACAGGCTTACATCAGTGAAAAACATGAGTCAAACAAAGTTATTGCTTTTGAGAGGGCAAATCTCCTATTTATATTCAATTTCCACCCATCTAAAAGCTATACAGATTACAGAGTTGGTATAGAAAAACCGGGGAAATATCCTTATTGTTGTTATTTGTGTATGTCACTCTGACTGGTTTCTAGCAAAACGATAAGCCTAGTTTAATACAATGTGAACAACACTGAAGCTAACATAACTCAGCCCCTTTCATCCAACCATGAGTGTGATATTCAAAAGCATCTGTTTCCCACTTTGCTCTTCACTCGTCCTCCACACATCCAGATGTCAAGGAAAAAGTAGAATGCCAGTGGCAATGCAGACTAAGTATACTTTCACTACAATTGTAGTGAAATTGTAGAATCAAAGAACTGTACATTTTTAGTATTTCTTTTCAGTGTGAAATCACTGCATTCTAGCTTGAAATGTTGAGCTTTCATGTAATGTTCTTTTAGTTGACTAACCATTTAAAATACTATTGTGCCCTTCAGCTGCAAAACTAGCAGCTTCCATTATTGAGTGAATTTTAACTTGTATGTTCAGTAGTAAAAAGTATATTTGAGGAATAGGTTTATTCCGTATTCTTCTAATATCAATAAAGTTCCAAAGTGGCAGAGGAGAGCACCAGGTATTTTACGTATAACTCCCACCTACAACTTTGTATGTATGTATCTCACTTATACTTTACAAATACAGGTCCCACAGATAATAATACATGATATTCACATGCATGTCTATTTTTACCTACCTTGCCAATTTAGCCAATTCTTCCCTGGGTCTGCAGTACCCATCAGCTGAAGTGTCCTTGCAATATTCTCATTCCCCTTCATGAAATTTCTCCACAAACATTAAAAAAATCCTTCCCCTGCTTTATAGTGGTTTTTTTGTCAGATTTGTAGTTTCACAGCTCTCGGGATTCTGCCTTTCCATCAGTTTTTTAATCAGGCTCCCTTTTTTTGTTAACTCACTGTTGGACCTCCATTGCAACAGGCTTTTGTTCTGATCCCATTTTCTGTTCCTTTGCTTCCTAAACGATCCCACAAAAATACCTGAACTCAGCTATGCTGCTTCTTACTAATGCAGTTGTTCTCAGTTTGTCTGAGCTAAACTTTACCTACCAGTTATACTATTAGCATGGTATATGTCCAGTCTTCTCCATGCCAGTAGTTATATTAATGAACAAACAACAGCCGGTGTTAGGTAGTGGATGCTTTGTTTCAAGACATCAGTTTTGTGTGTCGGCAGCACATAGAAGGAATTGTATGTTAAAGGAAATTTTAAGTCCTTTGTTTATATGTATATGGAAGGAAATCCCAAATGTTCCAAATGTTATCTATATTTTAATATGAGTACAAAAGTGGATTTTCCTGATTTATACCGGTACAGTACTGGGATTTTTCACCTTTAGCTTTAGCACACTGTTGCATGGAGAATTCAGTTGTAACTTCCAGTGCTACAGTTTTCCTGTGTTTGTTTTTCACTTCAAACTCTCAGGAGTTTTCCATAAACATGGTCCACTAGTAGTTTCTCCACAGCACCCATGCTGCCTCAGCATGGTGATTTGAGGATAAACGTAGTCAAAATAAAATTGAGTTTTTATTCGTGCAGATGATATTGGGAAATGTGTTTGAGAGATGCACCCAGTGGTAGCATTTGCTGCTGATTCTTTTGTTCTCTCTACATTTATTTTGACTCTCTGGAAATCAGATTAGGATTTAATGAAGTGAAAATACATCAGACTTCCTCAACACAAATAATTGCATACAGAAAATACAAGCTGCCTTTAAAAAATAATTCAGATCTTTTAATGAAGAGTCTTATGCACTGTGCATATTAGATAGGTTCCAAAGAAGGGAATATGCACATGCCAAAGAGAACTGTGCACAGTATGAGGTGTGTTACTGGTTTAATTGCCACCATACTTCCCATTTTCAGATAGAAGCATCTTTTTAAACCGAACATAGGCTTATGTATCCAACTCTGAATAATTGCCATCAAACAGCTAATAATGTTCTGGGGATGGAGTTTCTCCTGTACATATATTCATTAACCACCTACTACCAAGGAGTCAAGTGGTGGTAGATCTAGAAAGGAACACTTAGTTGTAGTTATGGTAGGTAACACAGTCTCCAAAACATAAATGAGCATTTCCTATTGATGTGTTGTCTCTGAGCAAATTAGTCATATAGTTCTCTAAAGATGGAACTATTTGGAAAAAATATGTTCAAAGGAGTATCTAGGATCCCTGAAGCTTAGTTCAAGCTCTTTTTAAATACTCCCAAGGAATCATTTAGAGTAATGGGGGAAAGCGGGAAACTGTCAGTAAATGCCATAGACTTGCAGAGGCTGTGCTTCTATGGATAACCCATTGGTTGTACATAAGATGACATACCAAAGTGTGCATATTCTTTTGTGAGTCTGCATCCAGTTCTATCAGATTCAAGGAGTCAGTGTTTACTTGATTTAACAGTTATGTATATATACATATGCTAAGAGAAAGATATAGAAAATAAAAATGCAGAAGGTAATCACTGGTGATTATTTAAACCTTGGTCATTTGCCCACTTGTTGGGTAATACACCATGAATCTGATGGAATCAGATGCTGAAGATATGAAAGATACGAAGACGTCAAATCAAAACTTATTAATATTAAGGTAGCATAAAACTGTTGTTTTTTGTAAAATGAGTGGTCATTTCCATAGTATTATGGAAGGATTATTGCTAAAGGAATATGTAGGGTACCCATGTAAGTTTCAGTTAATACTTCTACTAAACACTACATATATCCATACACATCAGAAGGTGAGTGGCCCCATAGACTAGAATAAAGTAGTCTCACTCTAGGTAATGGCATTACAATTGCCTATAATGAACACAAATGGTTGTTGTTTAGTCGTTAAGTTGTGTCCAACTCTTTGTGACCCCATGGACCAGAGCATGCCAGGTCTCCTTTCTTCCACTGCCTCCCGGAGTTCGGTCAAATTCATGTTCATAGCTTCGATGACACTGTCCAACCATAGTGTCCTCTGTTGTCCCCTTCTCCTCTTGCCTTGACATTTTCCCAACATCAGGGTCGTTTCCAGGGGGTTTTCTTTTCTCATGAGATGGCCAAAGTATTGGAGCCTCAGCTTCAGGATATGTCCGTCCAGTGAGCACTCAGGGTTGATCTCCTTCAAAATGGATAGGTTTGTTCTCCTTGCAGTCCAGGGGACTCTCAAGAGTCTCCTCCAGCACCACAATTCAAAAGCATCAATTCTTCGTCGGTCAGCCTTCTTTATGGTCCAGCTCTCACTTCCATACATCGCTACTGGAAAAACCATAGATTTGACTATGCAGATCTTTGTCGGCAAGGTGATGTCTCTGCTTTTTAAGATGCTGTCTAGGTTTGTCATTGCTTTCCTCTCAAGCAGCAGGGGTCTTTTAATTTTGTGGCTGCTGTCACCATCTGCGGTGATCACGGAGCCCAAGAAAGTAAAATCTGTCACTGCTTCCATATATTACTCTTCTATTTGCCAGGAAGTGATGGGACCAGTGGCCATGGTCTTAGTTTTTGGTTTATTTATTTATTTATTTATTTATTTGATTTTT